AAAATTTAGTATTATTTTCCTCATATTGTGTCTGATAAGCAAGGTAAAATTCTGAGTTTAATTTGTAAGTTTGGTTTACCCTTTTTATCCTAAAAATAATAATGCTTATAAAAAATATTTCTGAACTACTACATCATTTCAAAGTTCTGTATCGTACAATTTTTATATAATGCTAATAATGCATGTGCTTATATAACTCTAGAAATGAAAGTGAAGTCTTTTAGCCAATAATAATGTTAAATTTGCAAACTAATAATAAACTAACACAAGGAAAGTGAACCATACCTTTGTTAGTCTTTGTCTGACTTAAGTGCCATAATCTGTATATTGTTCTTTCACTTCTCTATGTTCATAATAAATCTTTTGCTGCTCTCTTTTTTACTTCAGTTATACTGCTATAAATATGTAAAAACTGCTCATGTAATTTTCTTCAAGAATAAAGAAATGTTATAAGTATATTGAAAATAAAGTATTATATCAAGAAAAAATACATACAGTAAACTCTTGCTGAACACAGAGAGTTGCAGGTGTTTTTGCGTATACACGTTATCTTAATTTCATTTAATTCATTTATCTTCTTCATTTAATTTATCTAGTTTTAAATTTCCATTGTATGCAGTATGCTGCAGAGCATTAGCCAAGTGGCAATAATCCTCTTTAATGACGATTTGAAAATTCAAACATTAAAGAAGTCAAGCATTACTTAATAAGGTATTTCTCCCACCTTCTTGGTGTAGTGGTTCTGCACGCTGGGCCAGTATTCCAGAGGTCCGTGGTTCGATTCCCGGCGAAGGCAATTGCTCATTTTTCATCTCTCCGGCTTTTCCAAAAAATTCTAATGTCTCTACAGTGGCGCCCGAACTAAAAGGGTGTTGGATGATGACTCTCCCCACCTAGGATTTGGCGATTGGATCCCCTAGAAACTCCAGTCGCCCTTTGAAAGCGGGAGTATATAAGTTATTTCTCCCACCTTTCTTGGCGTGCCTTCGTGGTGTAGTGGTTTTGCATGCAGGGCCGGTATTCCAGAGGTCCATAATTCGATTCCCGGTGAAGGCAATTCCTCATTTTCAACTCTCCGGCTTTTCCAAAAAATCCTAATGTCTCTACAACTTAGAACAAATCCTTAGCTTTAAAGTTCTCCTTATTCTCGGTAATGCTGACATGGTACTGAAGCCTTCGCAACATGGCATCCAAGTGTTGGGCTTTTCTGCCCTGCGCTGAAAACCAGTTCATTAATCCAGCCACTGGATTAAGGAATCAAAAAATCTTTCAAAGCCTTTTATCTCAGGAATGTTTAAATGTGTACAAATAAAAGCATTGGACAAACGAAAGCATGGCATACTTATGACATCTGGAGGCAATTCAACATAAGGTAATGTATAGGAATGATTAAACTCGCATAGGAACAAGTGAATTCATCAACAATGAATGCTTCTTGACATCAGTGCTGGCTAGAAGATGTCAAGAATTTTAAAGGATTTCCATCAATTGAAAATGAAGGCAAGGAAATTGTAGAAAGTGCAGAAACAAATTTCAGATATGGAACAAGGAAAAAAATTAAATAATTATTTGAGAATGATGATCATAAAATGATAAATGAAGAATTGGATGATTTTATAACACCAACCAATGTGAAAGCTGTGATAGTGAAGAAGATAAAGATCCTTTAATGTACAAGAAGTTAAATGAATTGTTAGAAAAAGCACAAAACTGTCTGATTTTGTAATGGAGATTTATTCAAATGGGAAAGAAGACATAACAGGTATTAGGAAATTTTGTGCTCCTTACTGCGAAATGTTTAATGAGTTGTGTCAAACATTGTCTCAAGCAAAAAATAGCCAGCTAATTAAAAAAATAATTGTATTATGTACTTCTTATTAAAAGCCTTTCAATTAACATGTTTCGTTTCCCCCTTTTAATAACAGTAGTATTCAAATTATACATGCTTTCTTTATCTAAACTTTACCTAACTCGTTTCTTTCCACAGAAAGTGAATTTTGCGGAATGCGATTTTGCTGTACGAGCTAATGTGTTAATGAGTTAGTTTAAGAGTTAGTGTGCTCAGTGTTAATCCCCATGTTCGGCAAAGGTTTATTGTATGTGTATATATGCATGTATCTGTATTTGTATGTATATGTAAGTATGTATATTTTTGGGTATTAAAAATAAGGTTTTGTGTTTATTTTACTAAACGATGGAATTTAAACATGAAAGCTTTTGAATGTTTTCAAATGTTACCCTTAGTTAATGAGAACTAGCTCATTTAGTTATTGTTAAATTTCTGGGCTTTTAAAAATACATCTGGAGAAGCTGTGGACTTTTCTTTCTTTGTGATATTACTCTGTGTCTCAATACATCCTGAATATACATCTCAGACATCCTGAATATTTTATTATTATAGATAACTGTTATTTATCAGACTGATTACTTGATTTTGCTTGGGAAGGAATCATAGTATTTGATATCAAATGTGTCATAGATTAGAATAGATTTTAACCTGTGATCTGTAACATTTTTGCAGTTTTTCTTTTATTAAATAGGATTAATTATAAATTTTCTGAGGGAAAAATATTGATCTATTTAGCTAATTTTTCCTATTGTGCCAGTTTTGTTGGTTTCGTATGTAAAAACAGGGTTGCCATGCTACATGGAAAACCTGAAAAACTGGGAAAAGTCAGGGTATTCGAAAACTGACTAAAAATGTCGGGGAATTTAAATATTTTAGTTAAAATCTGGAAAAGTCCATAAATTTCATATGGTGATCCCCCCCCCAAAAAAGCGATTTTTATGCCAGTGTTTGAAGCAATCACTTTCTTGGCGAATTATGTATCACGCGAGCATCATTTGAGCAGTTGCTATAGAGCCAATTTTCACAGCTCCGATCAGATTGTCTTTTAGAAAGTCAAAGCAAGTTTCCAGTGACATTTGGTTTCCAGATACAGTCAAAAGTCTTTAATCCGGACTCGTCGGGACTTTGGCGATTCCGGATTATCGATTTTTCTGCATTATAGATCATCAGTTTAAATCTGGTAAGATCGCATGCAGAAATCATAAAATTAAAAATATGAAACCGTAATTTATAAAATAATGAGCAATTATGATCTAAAGGGTATCAAATTTACAAAAAAATTTACAAAAAAAGAAGCTTAATATTTATTTGTTTACTTTATTAAACATTTCTTTCAATGCACGCATGCGTAAAGCATACATTAGGCATAGTCGAAATTAGAAAATTGCAACCAGAAAACTATTTGATTTGTATTCGTGATATTTATAATGAGGAGGAATTTGATTTAAATCATATCAAAGACGAGTACATCGAAATGAAATACAACATTTAGTAAGGAATTATAAGCCGACTAAAATAAAAACATCTGCCCTGAAGATAACGATAGTGCTGACAGATCAACTTCCAGTTCATCGCTCGCCGCGACGCCCCCCCCCCCCCGCAGAGCAGCGTGAAATTGATAAACAGATTTCGGAATGATTAGATAAACAAAGGATATGCCTTTATCCATTTTTTGTAGCAATTCCACTTTTTGTTTGATGGACATCCAAACATACTTTCGTTTTGTAGATCCTTTGGGAGCTCCAGCATCGGAAATTCTATTTGACATAATCGAAAGTTCAAGCTTACTTTTATAAAATTGCTCTTACAGTCTGAAAAAAATAATAAGCCAGATCCAATTTGAAGATTAAGGAACAACGCAATCATCAACATTAACTGTAATAGATAATTAGATAATTTTAGCTTATACCGTCCGTTATTAAACGCGCACGCGAAAACGTATTCTACGCTTGCGCAGACGCATATGCAAGTCGTAAAGGTCTTGCGCGCACGCGTAAACGCTTATGCGCATGTGTCAACGCGGCGCATGCGCAGAAAGATTTTAGCTTTGAGGTCCGGATTATAGATCATTCCGGATTATGGGTGTCCGAATTAACGACTTTTGACTGTACCTTGAAAATTGAGAGATTTGCATGCGCATATGCAGTGCATGTTGAATGAAAGAAAATAGCTTCCCATTCTTGTATAAAGCAAAACCGGTTTAATGTTAGTATACGCGGTACACATGGTATTTGGTGACATTATGATGAGCAATAATTGGGTCATTTTGGTGTTGGCAACAGTTTTCAAAATCTTACGAAGGTCCATACCGTATACTAGGATTTTACCACAAAATCTTTTAAACCTTTTTTTTTTTCTTTTTAATAAATGTCTTATTTGCCATTTTGCAGTAAAATAAAGAAAATAGTAATCAGTCATCTAGGCTAACCATTTAATGTAATTATATTTGCCAAACTATCGTTGGTTACTGTAATTCAGTTTTTAATCTTTAAGAAATTATCTTTAATGTTCGTATCATGTAATGTGGCTTCTTCCTTCAAATTTATTTATTATTAATTAATAATACTTTCAAATTTTAGGCAGTTTTCTCTGTCATACTCATGAAACTAATTCTAGCAGTATGATGACATATCATAACGAAATTTAATGCACATATTTTTTGCTTATGTATGCTTCTAAATATATATAACACCTGAATTTATTTAAAAATATCATTCAATAGATTTCTTTCTTTCAGTTAGCTGCAAAATGTTTGCATAAAAAGACATTTTTTAATCCAGATTGGGCAGATTTTAACCTCAATCTTTAGTGGAGAAAACAACTCCTATTATAGTTATAATAGTAATGGTTTGGGGATAAGTCATATGTAATAGGCAAATTTTTGTGTTTTCAAGTGGTACCAGCACTACGTGGATAGACTGGAATTTTCTTAAAACACACCTGGAAAACCTGGAAACGTCAGTGAATTTCATTCTCCTGTTTGAGAGGCAACCCTGTAAAAATCTTGAGATAATTTAGTAGATAATAATTTTTATTGCAGGTATTAATTTTGTTAATAGTTTCATTAAAGATTTGGGCAGATTTTGTGTTTCATATACTAATGCTGAATAATTTCTGTTAATGTTAAAATTTATTATTTTTTAATGTGCAGGGCTTGGCAGCTAGCTTTGGAGCAAGCACGCTTGTTTGGTGTAAGTATCTTAGCAGTTCATAAATTAGATTTTTATTTATGCTTAAGAGTATATTCTTCTTCAAACAGAAGGTAAAATTTTATTACAAAGCTATCCAAGATACATATCAGTAAGAGCCGCATTCAGTTTTTCATATCAATAATAGAATTCACAGGTATTTTTAACTACCACAATAAGACATTTGTATTATTTAAAAAATAGTAAAACAGTTTTTGAATAGAAATAAATGTTTCAAATAAATGAATAAGAATTTGGTATTTTTAGATCTGTGTGATTATTTAATCCAAAAGAATTTCTTATATAAATACCAGAAGAATTCCTTGCATGAAGAAGAATTACTCACTGTTGTGATACCCAATAAGTTGCTTATATAAATAAACAGTTCTTTTTGATATTTAGAGAATACTGTACAATCTGTGGTATGTAAATTTATCTTCCTGTCGTATACTGATTTTTTTCATGCAGAAAAGCAAGCATTTTCTTCTAATTGTGGGATTCTTTCTGATTATAATTATCTTAGTCAACTGGAGAAAACTGCTATTGTAAGGAGATGGATTGGTTTTTATAATAATATAATAAAAAAAAAACTTTTCATTTGACTGCTTAATTTAAAAAATAGAGATACCAATTTTTCTTTATTTTTGAGCTATGTGCACCTCTGCAGAAACACTACTCTGTGGAGTGTCTCACACTGTGGAGAATTTACTGTCAATATGTCGAAGTTATTTTTTAAAAAATTCGTCAGATTACTTGGACTTCATTAAATGCTTTTATTTAGATTCATATAATATGCTTTTGTTTATGCAAAAATACGAATTTTTTAGGCTCATGTAATATGAAGGTAAATGTTCGTTTTTCTGCTTTCTAATGCAGATTATGAACTCAGCATATTTGTGATTTATTTCAATAAAATAAAAATTAATTGAATGTCAATGTTACTTTTCTGCTGCCTGTATAGCCATTATTTGTTTTGAAAATAGCACCACAGAAGGTCTAAGAAACAGAATTATTTGCCTTTTTTACGACTTTGAGGATTAGAAAACAGTGCACATTTTGAAATTGCTTTGGATTAGGCATATAACTTAATTTGAAAATTAAATTTCTATCAGTAAACATAGATGTTTCAGTTATGTGAATTGAGATTTCTGTCTTTGTTGTTGAGATCATTTGTTGACTAAAAATGCAATAAGATCTTAAAAAAAAAAAAAAAAAAAAAAAAAAAAAAAAAAAAAAAAATTAATGTGAAAGAATATAAGTAATCGAATTTGAACACAAAACATTTAATGAATGTAGTAGAAGTTTTATATTTTTTATTCAGTTCTGTTTTCTAGGTTTCAGTTGAGCAAAATTCTTTTGTAACTTAAAAAGGGTTAAGTTTTGTGAGAACATATGGAAGATCAAACTTACATGGATAAACTAAGTTTATCTGCAAAATTTGCATTATGTATGTGCTTCCCTTTTACATGAATATTCAAGTTTTTGTATGGCTTTTTGTGAAATACTTTTAAGAGCATTCTATAGATATCATACTATTTATGAAATCTCTGAACTTTGTCTGATGTCCTGGAATTATGATGAATTCCAATAAATAATGGTACATAGTATATTTGCACTTAAAAATCAAAAACATTTGATTTTTAAATATAAAGAACAAATCTAAATTCATTCTTGTATATCAGGAGTAGTTATTTTAATACAATAGAAAAGTATGTCTGGGTGTTTGTTATCCATGTATCAAATGCAAAGGTTGTGAAATTTCAATTAGATAATTTTTAACTACTTTTCTGAATTCTTTTTTGAAAGTATTTCAGGGTTTATTAACATATATCTCAAATTCATGATATTGTACAGTAAGATTGTTAATTAAGCCATACCAGTTATTTATTAGTTACATTTGTAAAAAAAATGATGTACAGAACTGTACCTCAAGAGTGCGTTAGCTAGGAAGTCTCAAATATAGTTTATTTTTTTTTTTATTTCCTTCATTCCAGTCATTGAAGTGTATTTTATTCTTTTTATGTTAGCGAAATATTCAGTGGATGTTTTAAACCAGGGTTTCTTAAACTTTTTCATTCGCGACCCCTTTTTATCACTGAGATTTTTTCGCTACCACCAGAACCCCATAATATTTACAAAAATTTTGTGGGACCCCATAAGTATTGCGCAAATCCGACAGTGAGTGAAACTGTGAATTTTTTCAATTGTACTGTAATATAACTACTGCAGTTTTAGGTCATTAAATTTAATTTCAAATTTTAAGATATAGAACAATGTGAAAATTTTAAATAAGTAACAGACGAAATGACAGCGTCACGTGCAAAGCAAGAAAAATGAGCGTTTATATTATAAAAAGAATGCGTCAAAACTTTTTCGTTTTTTCCCCCCCCTTTCTTTGTCTGTATTGTCTTATCTTTATCTATTTTCAGATATATAATGTAAAAATATTTGGTAATTGTAAAATTATTATAATAAGTTAAAGAAATATCAAAACTGCTAAAATTTTTGGGGACACCCTGCTGCAGGTCCCGCGACCCACAGTTTGAGAAACCCTGTTTTAAACCTTTTGAAATGTAATATAAATGAAGATGAGTATGATTATACACTCAAAAGTCGTTAATTTGGACATCCATAATCCGGACCTCAAAGCTACAAACTTTCTGCGCATGCGTCTAATGCGCGTAAGACCTTTACGGCTGCGAATATGCGTGTGCACGTGCGCAAAATATGTTTACGAATGCACGTTTAATGTATAACGGACGGTATAAGCTAAGCTAAAATTATCTAATTCAGTTAATGTTGCAGATTGTGTTGTTCCTTAATCTTCAAATTGGATTCGGCTTATTATTTTTTGCAGACTGTTAGAGCAATTTTATAAAAGTAAGCTTGAACTTTCGACTATGTCAAATAGAATTTCTGATATATATTTACTAATATGTAAAGGATCTACAAAGCGAAAGTATGTTTCGAAGTCCATTAAACAAAAAGTGGAATAGCTGCAAAAAATGGATAAAGGCATAACCTTTGTTTATCTAAACTTTAACGTTGTTTATCTAAACTTTGTTTATCTAAACTTTGTTTATCTTTAACGCCGCGGCGCGCAATGAATTGGAAGTTGATCTATCAGCACTATCCTTATCTTCAGGGCAGATGTTTTTATTTTATTTGGCTTATAATTCCTTACTAAATGTAGTATTTCATTTTGATGTACTCCGTCTTTGATATGATATAAATCAAATTCTTCGTCATTATAATTCGTTTCCGATAGCAAAAAAAGTGACAGAGGTTATTGAAAACGAAAAAATTTCGATTGACAAATTAGTCAGTATTCTCGACACAGCAATTATAGGACTTGAACAGCAGAACTTTGTAAATGAACAAGAAATTATGTCTGTTTATAGAATTAAAGAGAATGTATTATCACATAAAAAACGAAGCAACTTAAACAACTTACATTGTAAAAAGTGTTTAATAAAGTAAACAAATAAATATTAAGCTTTTTTTTTAATATAAATTTTGATACCCTTTAGATCATAATTGTTCTTTATTTCATAAATTACAGTTTCATATTTTTAATTTTATAATTTCTGCATGCCATCTGACCAGATTTAAACTGATGATCTGTAATCCGGAAAAATCGATAATCTGGAATCGCCGAAGTCCCAACAAGTCCGGATTAACGACTTTTGACTGTATTTAACTATAACATTTTCTTCTTCAATAATTTTGAACCTAGCCAAATCTGATATAAAGCTTTCTGATTTGCTCAAATGATATCTGTGTAGCCAGTCTGTATCACTTTTCATTTCCAAAATCAAATTCACTGCTAATTAGCCCTTTCAAGATGGTGTGCCTTTGTTTAAGAAGTTCCCTCAGGAATTACTTACTCTGAGAAATAATTTCCAGAAGTGCTATTCATATTATTCCGAAGTTTGATAAAACACATTAATAAATAGCCTTAATAAAAATACGAGAAGGACTGTCTACAAGAAGTAACAAAATCTTTGACAGGAATTGGAAGGCAGACACTCAGTGAGCTCAGTCTCTGACAAAATGTCCATATGAGCATCACTAGAAATATCACTTTCTAACTCTTTAGAAAATGAATCATCACTGTCATTCATTATCACTAATTGGCTCATTTATGATTCGTCTGATAAATAATGTTACTTGCCATAATAAACTGAAGTCAAAACGTTGCAAAATGAAATCGGTGCAAAGCATAATGTACTATCTACCAATAAGTATTTGGACACCTATGATAAAAAAAAAAATTGATTCAAATTCAGTAGTAGGTAGAATCACTATGAGTGCCAATTACAGCCTCAACCTTCTGGGGCATGCTTTCCACAAGTCCTTGTATGACTGTCGGAATTTTCTTCCACTTGGCTTGGGAAGACATGTCAATTTCTTTACTGATAATAGAACGGTCATTGCACCCCTTAATTTGGCGATCCAACTCAGCCTGGAGATTCTCGATAGCAGTCAGGTCTAGTCTTTGGGCAGGTCAGTCCATTCAGTTAACCCCATTGTCATCATACCATTCCATGGGGGACCTCGCAACATGACAGCTGCTGATGGCATCCTAAAGTAACATGGGTCGAGCCCATTAAACTGTCACAGCTTAGGAAACACACTGTTATCCAAAATAGTGCAGTAGGTGTTGATGTTCAATGTGCCATGAATTTGGACTAAGGGTTCAGTCTATATCTGGAGAAACATCCACAAATCATAATTCCACTGCCACTGTGGGCACAGTGCATTCTGGCAAGAGATGTCCTCCTGGCAAATGCCAAATCCAGACCCTGCTATCCAAATGGTAGAGAATGAATCTTGATTTTTTGCATCAGAGAACTTGTTTCCACTGATCAGTGGTCCAATGTTAGCGTGCTTTGCACCACATTAACCGAGCAGTGTGGTTGGACTTTTGGATCAAATGTTTATGGGCAGCAGCATGAATATGAAAAGCAAGCGGATGTGCTTTCTTATGGATGGTATTAATCGAAACAACACCCTCGGTTGCCTGTTGAAACTCCTGGAGTATGTGGACCATCGGTTGCTTGTTGTCCTTTCAGATTTCTGTGGACAGCACCCGTTGGCCCCTGTCTCCCAGTTTCACAAGTCTACCGACTTGAAGCATATTCTGATAATCACCACTCATCTTCCACTTCTTAATCAGATAAGCTACTGTCGAATTTGGGTTATTCAGCTCACTAGATATGCCCCTTGAGGACCAGCCATTTTTGTGACACCCAACGTTTACACCTTTCTCGAAATCAGGTAACTGTGCACTTTATGGTATCTTGCATGATATAAAGTGCTAATATTGTTTCCTACATCATATTTAATGGTGGAGGCTATGACATATATCAGGACCACGGATATTGTTGTTACAAATTATGATTATTTAGTTCAAGATAAAGCTTTCCTTCAGATGTAAAAAAAGTAATCCTGTGCAGTATTTTTATTTAGTGTATATTGAAGCTTTTTTTCCCTTTTTTTAACAATTTCGAAACTAATTATAGATGCATCCTCAGTTATCTGGACATCCTTCTGCATATATGCCTGCTTATAATCCTGGTTATCTCCCACCTTATAGCAGTAAGTATGAACTCTTAATTAATTTTAGATTTTGTTCTTGCACTAGAAACTAATAATGATTGGAATATATACAAAAACAAAATTTAAGAAACAAGTTTTTTTTTTTTTTTTTTTCCCTGCTGTAAAGTGTAAAATTTGCATTAAATATTTCATATGGTGTTTTAACTTAAACACATGTTGCATCTTTAAGAAGGAGGAATGTTTTTTGCTCTTTTTATTATAATTATCAAAAATCATGTTTTAAAGACGAGTAATTTCAGAAAGATTAAACTGTCAGATACTGTTGGAAAGCAAAACTCGTAGGTAACCTTTTCTTCTCTTTCTTTAAAAATTTCTATCCTCTTCATCCACTTATTAAAAAATATTTTATGACTGACTTTTTTTACTTCATATGTTGGATGTCATTTGTCCTCCAAAAAATATTATAAGAACTAAAACTTTTCTTTGACCCGAAGTTTTAAACAAATAAAAACTTCACTAAAAAGGCCTATGAAGTGAAAGCCTGGTTGACTGCTCTACCCCATATCTGAACAGTGCATATGACTGAAAATCCATGCAGGTGGGGACTTAAGGTTTTGTGGATTTGAGGTCACAAATGGGAAAAAGACTAGTATTAGATGTAGCATAATGAAAAGCTAGAATAAATTTTAAAAATTAAAAAGCACATAACATAGCAGCCAATTCTTTTGGTTTTATTAAGAGATTCCTGGTTTCTCATTGTATCTCTGGGAAGATCACCGAGTCTTGTGGTTTTTAATTTTTAGCATTTATTAAAGAAAATGTTTTCCAGCAGTAAATTAATTTATTCAGGCAATGAAACTTAAATCATGAAAATTCTATCTCCCTCCTAGTGATTTTCAGAATAATTTTTCTTTTAAAATTTTATTCGATCTGAATTGTCTTACTATACTGTAGACTGTTGTAGAACTTTTTATGTACGATTAAGCAATGTTTAATCAATTAATATTTGTATTCAGTTTTGCTGTATTTTATTAAATAGAACATTAAGATTATCCACTTAATAGTGCACTTTATGGTATCTTGCATGACATAAAGTGCTAATATTGTTTCCTACATCATATTTAATGGTGGATTAATTATTAATTTTATTTCCATCATATTTAAAAATAATTCTATAAGTAAAAGCTTTTGTTCACTACTCGGGATTTTCTCAGTATAAAAATGTAAGAAAATTAGAAAATGAAATTAGCCAAAAACATAAAATTTAGAATATCTGATTAAATTTTAATGTTTTACATCAGAAACACATTATAAATAACCTGAATCATGCATTAAAGTACTAAATCAAGCTGAATAACCTGAATCATGCATTATAACATAATAAACCACGCTGAATGACCTGAATCATGCATTATAAAGTGAATTTAAATGAGTTTGAAGTTCTTTTGAGAGGATGTCGCTGCACGGCAAAAAAGCCTTCCAATTTTTTATATTTCAAGGTTGGCAGCTGTGACATAAAAACTATTTATTGTTTACATATTTTTAGCAAAATGCATATTAAATAGAATTTATTTTAATTGTGAATATTTGATATACGTAAGATAAAAAATATATAAATCAAAATAACTTAAATTATCAATAGCCCCTTAATTCTCTATTCTAAAAATATTAACTCTTTATAACTTTTTCTGGACTGCATCATTTCAAAATTTATCCATATCATGCCATCTTACGTAATGCACAGCAATGCAGGTGTGTTATAACTAATCACCTCTTCAAGAACTGACACTATGACTGTATCTCACGCTACTTCTGAATGCAATAGCTTTATCCTTCTTTGTGTTTGCTCTTGCTAACATGCACCTCTCATTTCTCTGTGTTGTCCATTATATGAAGATGGGGCTAAGCTCTCAAATTTATGGGGTGTGTATTGATGTGAATCAGATATTACATCTAAAGAATTGCTTTATCAAAAAATACAAATAATGTGGTGAACCTGTGACCACATCTGTCTTTGAGTATCATGCTCCTAATCTACACAGTAAAGAATCTCCAATTTATAAAAATGTAAGAAAGCATTGCCGGTCCATTGCACCTATTCCCAAATCATCACATTACAGTGAATTGACAAGGAATACATCTGTGCCATATTTATCAATTTTATTTTCTTCATGTCTGATGAAACATTTCTCATGTGAGAAAGGAAAAAAGTGCTTATCTGTGATTTAGTAAGTTCAAGATACTGTTAACCAGCAGTGCTTTAAAACTTATGGAGTCTTTCAAATAATCGTCAAAAAGCTTTAGCATTGCAGTCATTAATTTGTGTTACATTTGTGTGTGAAAGTTAACTGAGATCATCAGTCATGAGTGCCATTCATTCCTGTGTTGCCTATTGAATGAAGTGAATAAAATACATATATGTGCTCAGTGAAACAAAAATCATATAGTATATGCCATGATTTTTAAATTTTTATATTCAGTGCTTCTATTTTAAAACTCTACAGGTCTGATTTTGTCATTTAATTTACTCGTTAATTTATGCACCTAAAATGCTTTGATAATCATTAAATTAAAAAATGCAAATAATGTTAATTACTTTGAAATGTAGATGTGTAATTCTGTTTTAAGGAAGTAATAACAATTAAAACTTTATAGTATTACAAATGTATACTTCTGTCATTGTGTTGGATTAATTAAAAAATTTAAAGCATTTTATTTATTAAAGTTACTGTAAAAATAAATGAAATTTGGATTATTGTTTAAAAATGTTGAATTATTTTTAAAGTTTTTGAATTATTTTTAGAGTTTCGGAATTATTTTGGGAAGGAGATAAACATGAATATAAAGAAGGAAATAATTTTGAATATTAGTGTAGAAAAATGTTATACAAATTTTGCTTTTGAGTGTTAATATAAAAAAGTACGAAATTATAATATTGAATATTGTTGTAATTAATATAAAAATACCAATGATTTAAGAAACTGAGTCATTATGATAAAAGTGAATGTGAGTAATAAAATTAAGAAATTAAATTATTAGAAAATATGAATGGTAACTGTATGTTGTAAAGAACATGTTGAGGGGAAAAATACTGGTTAAAAAAAAAAAAGAGACCTTTTTATACTTTTGTATAATTATTCCTTTTACCTTCCTCATACAAGATTAACTTGAAGGCTTCCACATTATAAAAATACATTTTATATAAAATAATAAGAGTTTTTTTTTTTTTTTTTTTTTTGTATAATGGAGTGTGAGAAATTTACGATTACTCAAAATAAGCACTGGGTATATAACATTTTTATAATTATAATTTTCCTTACAAAATTTTTGAAAAACTTGCTGAAGAATCAAAATTGTCAAAAATATAATACTAAAATAAATAAACAGTACAAAGTCTGTAATCCGGACTCATCGGGACTTCAGCTGTTCCGGATTAGTGGTTTTTTCCGGATCAGTGGTTTTTTCCGGATCATCAATTTAAGTCTGGTAAGATGGCATGCAGAAATTATACAATTAAAAATATGAAACCATAATTTTTGAAATAAGGAGCAATTATGATCTAAAGGGTATCAAAATTTTACAAAAAAAAGCTTAATATTTATTTGTTTACTTTATTAAACATTTCTTTCAATGTAAGATGTTTAAGTTGTTTCGTTTTTTGTGCTAATACTTTCTCTTTAATTCTATAAACAGACATAATTTCTTGTTTACTTACAAAGTTCTACTGTTCAAGTCCTGTAATTGCTGTGTCGAGAATACCGACTAACTCATAAATCAAAATTTTTTCGTTTTCAATAACCTCTCTGTCACTTTCTTCACTATCAGAAGCGGTATTTTCTGGATCTAGAACCATACTACAGATTTCGCCGTCCGTTAATTGATTGATGATTGAGGCATTATCATTACAATGAAAAACTTCTGGTTATATCATCTTCATTTATTACCACTTCTCCACATTTCTTTAAAAAATCCAATAACTGGAAAATTTCACCTTTAGTTTGTGATGTCCAGAAACCTTCAAATCTTCAAAACAGTCCGCAAAAAATAATAAGCCAGATCCAATTAAAATATTAAGAAACAGTGCAATCTTCAACATTAACTGAAATGCCTTAGAAGCAGTTAATATAATTTTAGCATACCTGATACCATCCATTATACATTAAACACGCATGCGTAAAGCATACAAAAAAAAAGTTTGTGGCTTTGAGGTCTGGATTATAGATCATTCCGGATAATGGACGTCCAAATTATGAACTTTGTACTGTATTCTACATTACTGTATAATTTAGTTCAAAGGTTTGAAATTTGCATTTTGCAAGTATTTAAAAATTACTTTGTTCAAAATTTTATGTTTCGTATTTTCAAGATTATACTTCTCTTCTTTTGCTGCTCTAATACTTGTTTTCTCGAGAAGCATTTTCTGCTACTAAGATTTTTTTCTCTTTAAAGGGGGATATGCAAGATAAAAACATATGTAAATCAAAATTATAACTGAAATTAGCAATAACCCCTTACTCTTAATTCTAATTTGGATATTTTTCCTCTGTATTAAGAAAAATAGTAATTGTTTATAGAAACATTTTCTCGAGTGCATCATTTCAAAATTAATCCATTTCTTGCCATCTTATGTAATGCACAGCAATGTAGGTATACTATAGCCAATCCCTTTTTTTGAGAATTAAAACTTTGACTCTATATCTGATGCTACTTTTGAATGCATAGCCTTTTCCTGCTTTGCTTTAGCTTAGACATGCACTTTCTTCTCTGCATTGTCCATTGTCTTATCTGCTCTGTATTGTCCATTGGGTTAAGCTTTCAAAATTGTGGGGTGTATATTGAATAATGTGAATCAGATATTGCATCTAAAGAATTGGCTTTATCAAGAAATAAAAATTATGTGGTCTGTCTCCATGTGTCATCCATTTATTTACAGTAAAGAATCTCCCAAGTTATTGCAGTACAACAAACCATTGCCAATCCATTACAGTTATCCCCAAATCATCATACACACACACACAAACATACACACATGTGTTGTA